TATATATATATATATATTAAAGAACATATTCATGGACTATAAACTTCATTGGTGAAACAGACTCTGTAGCATTAAATCATTCCGATTATGTAATCTTTCATATCTATACACATAGGCTGACGAGCTTATCGATGCACTTCTCTCAAGTCATTCTTTCAACGCATCTATCATGGAAAACAACAGAGTTAAAATATCCGTGCATGAAGGAAAGTTAATCGGCATTGTGGAGAAAAATGTTTACAACAATTCTTACATCGCTTTTCGAGGAATACCATATGCGAAACCACCAATCGGAGAACTCAGATTCAAGGTGAGTACATAAAGTTTTATTATTATAAATTATATATTTCTATACATAATCTAATAATACAATTTCTATATAACAACTATTATATAATAATTACGTAATATGTAATAGTAAGCAATATTGTATTTTATTTTTTGATCATAATCTACCAATATTTTTTAATCAATATTTTTTTCTCAATTCTTTATAATCATTTTTTTGTATCTTCGTTTAACCTTCATACAATGAATGCTGAGTCACTTTGATCCATGAGCAATAAAACAGCTCGAAATGCAGTAATGATTAATGATATTCAAAGGACTCTCGCGAAAACGATCACAATGTTATATTTGCGTAATTACACGAAAAACAGTATAAAATATCAAATTACAATAAATTTATTTGTAAGAATCATACAAAAAATACACATTTCATCATGTTCATACAGAAAATTGAAAAGAAATAAAATATATGTTGGTCAAAATGTGTTCTTATATTTTATATTTCATTTATAATTCTTTCCTAAAACTAGTTTAAAATAAAATCTATTATATGGGTCAAAATGGTCCTGCATTTGTCTCCTATGTCTGTTGAAAACCATTCGTCTTCCAAGAGTTAAGGTACGATGAAATCAAAAATTAATTTTTTGAGAACAAAACATTTTCAAAAGATAAATAATTAATTTTTAATCTTGTCTCATGTAATTGCGATTTAAAGTAAAGATAAAAATGACTATAAAAAAAGGAAAAAAGTTTCGGAAGATAACTGATAAAAGAGAGATTACAAATGACAATGCTTATCATTGTGACACTACTTATCAGTTGTATTATGTATGATATAATTGTTTATATAAGGATTATCTAATTATTAGAAAATAAATCCTCTTTTATTCTCTCTCTCTCTGTGTGTGTGTATGTATGTGTGTGTGTGTGTGTGTGTGTGTGTGTGTGTGTGTGTGTGTGTGTGTGTGTGTGTGTGTGTGTGTGTGTGTGTGTGTGTTGTTGTTAGTTAGTTAGTT